AAGTAAAGTTCAGAAATAGCAAACAACTTCTATTATTTTAATAGTCGTAGTCAACCTTAACCAAATATTTCACTCCAATAAATAATTCAAAGGAACACACATAGCCACATATACAAAACGAAAACCTCAATAGCGGTCAACATTGGAAAACTTTGCTTCGTTTTTCATTAATGGGCGACAAATGCAGAAGCCTGCAATTAAAACCAGCACCAGAAACTTTTCACACATCATAAATGCCAACATGTGGGTGGCGACTCATGCCCTTTATGACCTGACCTGCCCCAACCTGACCTCACCGAGTAAAATTAATAAGTAGTCAGCAAAAACATTGCGCATACGCAGAGATGACGGCGGTACAGAAATGAATTTGCAACCTTATAGTCATAAATAATATATAGCCACCTATATACCACCTATACTTGTATATATACGAGTATACATATAATATTTATGTAAACGTTAATGCTAAAATGTTGCAAATGGGAGGAGCTGACAACTAAACGGCATATAAATAGCAGTTAAATGACATTCATTTTCGGCGTCGGCATATTTGTAAATGTCATGTTTGTTGATATTTTTCTGTGTATGCTCACACACACACACACACACACACACACTCACACACACACTCACACATTGTCTGCTTGCGGTCACTGACATGCGAATTTGTCATCGCAGTTAGACATAAACATTAAATAATGCGACAAAGCAAAACCAATTTTTTTATCTCGATGATTTACGTCAGTGCTCGACATTTTCATGTGTTATATCAAAGCGTAAATTACGGACAATTTACACTCTATTGGTATAATTAATTTAACACCTGTATCGGCAGACACACCTTTTCGCAAATAATTGAAACGATTAACTTTCATTCAGCATTGACAATGACAAAGCATTCGGCTTGAATCGTACAATATATAATCATAATTATAACCGATTTGTGAATCGAATGACAAAGCATTCGGCTTGAATCGTACAATATATAATCATAATTATAACCGATTTGTGGATCGAGTATAACAAATTTGCTTTCAACAGAAATCAAAGCAAGGGTAGAACATTAAATTCGTGCCTGATCCTGGATTCCTGGATTGAGATTTATTTTTTTTTTTTTTTTTAACATTCATCACTTTTTTGTTCGATTTTCGCGTATTTTCATAAGGGACTTGCAATAATTAATCAAATCTTATTCTCATTTATTTTAAAATACGATACATAAGGTATAAGTTATAAGGTATGTCGCTGGGCTGGTTGGTCGTTATGCTGTAGATGATTGTGCCTGCAAATTTGGATGATGTTTAGCCTGTTGTTCTAAATTTCTTCCATTACAGTTTTATATGGAGTTCTCTGTAAATGCTCTCGTTCTGGAGTAACCACTGTAGCCCTGTGATGGTTCTTAAGTTTTTTGACTATGCTCTCTGTATAATGTTGGTGTCGGTGCTGATTGCTTTGCCCCATAGCTCGGAGCCCTATGTTCAGACTTGCTTAAACACGAAGCTATGCAGGAGGACCTTATAGTTCAGGCAAAGCGGGGAGCGAGCGTTTATAAGCCAGTGGAGGAGGCTTGTCTTAAGTTTTCTTTACATTTTTTTGGCTTGTGGAATGTGTGCCTTTTTCAGAACGGTCAACTTGGTTTTTTTAGTGTAAACGTAACTTGCTTGCATTTATGTTCAATTCCTTCTGTGCCGCAGTCTACAAGCCATCTCTCCCCAGCTTTTAGTTGGCTAGCTTGTTGCGCCATTCCCCTTACTGGGAATCTACTTAGAACGACTAAGAATTGCGGTGTAGGGATGTCCGCTATGTACAAGACAGAGAATTGGTCCCAGAACGCTGTCTTGGGGTATCCACCATCGATTAAATGATCAGATGATGTGAGATGCTTGTGTTACATCCTACAGTAAAGACTCTTTGGGAGAAGTACGACTCAAGATTACATTTATGGCTATAATTTCCTTAATCTTTCTTTAAGTGCATACTGGATATAATCTTTATATTTTAGTTCATTAACATGAACGAATGTCAGATTCTGATTGTGTGTGATATACGTTGATGAATTCCTAGCCAGTCCTATGACCAATATGTTGTGACAAATCTAACCCAGGACGTCCTCCGTCAAAGTACTATCGCATTGAAAGTTTGTAGTAGGAAATAATAGTATGTCTAGACCTACCATGTTAAATATATATATATAAATATATAAACAAATATTGAAAGCAAATAATAAGGTAGGGCGAATATTTTATAGCTTCAAAACAAACAAAGATAACTACTTACTCTCTCATTATTTTTAATGTCATAATTGCTATTTTTTTTTTAGATCTAATTTTTTAATGTTGCACACAAGACTTGCAGCTTGTTTCACATTTTTCGCCACTATATTCTGGAGAATACAAGTTTTTAGCTGACACGTTTCATTGCAAGCAATTCCTAGTCCTACATTCTCCTTCAAAAAAATTTACCCCATTCCAAAAAGTCGAAATATTTCAAAATTACGACAGACTTAACAAAGTGTTGGTAGCTAAAAGCACCCTATACTTTAACACGTAAGTCCTTTGCGAAAAAGTTTTCGCACGATGCCGGCATAAGAAGAAGAGGAAAAAAAAACAAAATCAAAGATATGTTGTGCCAGTGGCTTGTCATTATGTGTTGTTTTTGTCTAACCTCCAACTTTCTTAGAGGTTCACAATTTAAGAAGCCACCCAAAAGTTTTTGCTAAGCTAACCAAATGTGTACGCTGGAGACAAATCTGGCAATGTATTTAGCAAGACAATGAACGAAATTTAACAACATTTGGCAGCGGCTTTTACAGAGACAAAGATTTTGTCAAATCCAAGCAATAAAATAAAAGAAAATAAATTCAGAAGGCTATGAAACAGCAGATTACGATCAATAATTTATTGAGCAATAAGCAACAAAAATTCATTTAATATTCAACAGAAGCAACAACTCTGGCACATCACATCCTTTTTCAAAAAATATATTATACTCATCTTTTTATACCAAAGCCAAGTTTTCATATTTTTGTGCTTAACTGAGAATTTTTAAATGTAGTTTATAGTTTTGTGTATCTTTTGTGTTTTCATATCGATGTGCTAAACTGAGAGTTTTTAAATGTAACTTATACTTTTTTGCGACAAGCTACTATGCAAGAACGAGTATATCCTGGAAGTATAGTAACAAAGTCGATATTTCTCGCGTTTAGTGAAGAAAGTGTCATCTATATATATTATATTACTCAGCTATTTTTGAATTGGCTTCAATGATATGCAAATTTGTCAAAGATCGTTCTACTATAACAGAAGCTTTTATCCCGTTTTGTTTTGAAAAAAAAAAACAGTGCACTAACAAATGTGATCTAGGTTGTTCTTTAAATCAGAAATGAAACTTTTTTTTTGATTATACAGGTATTGTTTAGAAAAACTTAAATTAAACTTATAGAATTATTTACATAAATCGCTCAAAAGTCAATCAGATATTTCCTCGTAATTTTTTTTGCATGATTTGCGTGAGTCCGTAGTTTGCTCGTTGAGGACGTCATCAGCTTTGACTACCCCGAGGTCCTTTAAATGTTTGCAGTTCTCACGTAGCGAGCAGTTTTGGCTTGCAGATTTGCCCTATGTGGAAGCCATCTCATTTTATTGACTCTGCATTTAAGGGTTCCTGAGACGCTGAATTTATGTCTTTCAAAAGTATTTATCAATTCAATTTTATTTGCTTTTTATTTAGTCTAGCGAATTTTATTTGAATTACTTTATTATTTTGTGATTATTCGATGGGCCTATTTAATTGCTATTCGAATATATTTAGGTTTTATTAACTGAAGTAATAAAATGCATAATTTTGTATAAAATTGTCCTGGCCTCATAGAACAACTCATGCATTGGAAAAGTCCTTCTGAAAACAAGAATTTGATTTAATCCTAAAAAACATTAAATTGTGAAACCATATACTTGATTCAGTGTGTTTTCTACTGAAAAATACAAATAAATATGTAAAACGTTTGCACATGTATACATACGTTGTTGTTATTGTTATTATTTCAAAGAAAGCCCAATTAGCAAAAAGCTGCAAACTACACTTCAATAATTGCTCAAAACAAATTTAAACCCAAAGTAACAAAGTCAACAAAAACAACTGAAGCTTATTGTAGAAATAACTTGCAAGTATTATAATTGCCTCTTTGTGCAGAAAGTGTGTGGCACATTGTAGTAATGGAGCTTGCGACAGTTGTGCGTGTCACTTTAATAATGCAAATTTGCGTAAAATGCAACGCCAGACCCAGGAATTATGCACCAGAAAAAGTATTTTTCCTAGCAAACGCATTTCAGACGAAAAACCAACGTTTACAGTTTCTCCATTTGCCCGGCAACTCAAATATGTATAATGTGTGATATATGTGTGTATGTGTGTAAGTGCGTAGGGAATGTGCGCGGATGGGACCCTACATGCTCGTATATGTCCCCAAACAATTGAACAATAACAAAAATGTTAAGCAGCATAAAGTGCATGCACAAAAGCGCAGACAGGCGTAGACTGTGAAGCCATAAGATATGCTGTAGACAAAGATGCACACACACATACACAAGAGTATACACATGCACAGCGACGCATACTAGAGTTTTTGAGCCAGAGATTAAATGGTGTTTATGGCCGTGGCATTGCCAAGGGTTTTTAGGAGCAGAATATTGTGCACGCTGCAAAACTGGAAGCTGCAAAACGCTCTAAGACTTTTGACACTTCTGCAAAATTTATGACACATAACACTTGCACACTCACACACCCATACACACACAAATCTTCCTGGTGCCCAGAAGAGTGCTATAAAATACTTACAAATAAATAAGCATGCCAAAAAGTTTTATGCTTTATGAGCAAATAATGCTAATGTGGAATAGAATAAGAATTTATCTGGACTTAATCTAAAATGCACTTCTTCTAACATTCTCTCCATCCCTCTCTGTTTTCTCATCCATTTACAGGGTTGGACCTGGCCTAAGATGGGGAGCGTGCTATTTGCGGCTGTATTCATAGCGTTACATTTTGCCACCGGCGGCCTGGCCAACCCAGATGCAAAACGTCTCTACGACGATCTGCTGAGCAACTATAATCGTCTTATACGACCCGTGGGCAACAACTCCGATCGTCTAACGGTCAAAATGGGTCTACGTTTATCGCAGTTAATCGATGTGGTAAGTACCCTAATACGAGTATTTCACAATTTCGAGTGCTCAATTGCTTGATTACTATAAAGCATCAACACAAAAGTGATAAAACTAAGTCTCATATCTCTAAAGCCATAAATGCAAGTTTTACAACTTGCATAATAATTCAAATAAATTTTACAGATACCTCTTGTAAGCAAAGTGAAAGGTGAAATTAAATGTTCTATTAACAAACAAAAGAATCCTATTTTGGAATGTTTTTGATAAATATGCTCGTTTATTAAATCTTTATACCCTGGACCCGTAGGATAAAAAGGGCTAATATACTCGCAAAGTATGTAACAGACAGAAGAAAACATTTGAAATGTTACGTAAACCAAATTTGTGATAAACAGTCTCTAAATAAATGTCTACTTTTATTTTAAATCTCATTCAAATCGGTCAATTGTAAAAAAAAGTTATTAACGAAAAAAGTTCACTCCAATACTATGCCCACAAGTTGCATCATCAAGGAAGCTCTTCTTCTTATTTTTGCTTCTTCTATGGGCGCATATAGCTCAGTGCCGGAAGTTTGTCTGGGAAAAGCTATTTATGAGCCCAGATGAACTGTCGATCCGTTTCACGCCCATTTATTTTATGAAGCAGGATGCAATTATACATTCCTTCCTCCATCTTCTTTTATATAAGAACAATTGCTCTTTATCGATGCTAAGAAAGGTCGATAAAAATGCAAAAATATGTATACATATATACTAATATGTTTGTGTTGCTCGACTGTAGCGTTCTCTCTTGTCCATATTGCTTACACATGGTAGTTAAAAGTCGGCGCTGATTACCTAACAATTTCCAACAAAACGTCGCTTTAACAGTTGATCCACTCTACTTGCCACTACAAAATCCTCTTTTTCATATATTTACTTCTAAGCTACTAAAGCGATCTGCATTCACATGCTGTCAAAAATGGCATGGACAATGGCGGATTAAGAAACAACCGGACACATAACAGGCGAACTGACTATACCTTGCAAATAGGATAAACGCTATCCATATCAGCAAGCAACACATGTCGGCAGGATTAAGCTTGCGCAAAGTTCTGTCTTAGGACTTGCATTATTTTCCCTGCACCTTTTGTAACTTGGCGTCGATTAATACAATGGCGACGTCGGCAAAATTTGTCGAGTTAAGTTCAGAATATCCTTTCCTGGTGACTTGCAACAATGTACATACAGCTAACGACCAGGACAAAAGGCATATTAAGAATTGCAGGCCACAAGGGCAGCAGCTACTGTTCCTGCTACCTACTAAAGATGTACTACTCCATTCCCCAATCTGTCCCTGAGCAATCCAATACCACTGAGATATAGTAGTAGACGTAGTACTAGAGTGAAATTGTCTCGCTAATAACTTATCTTGGAATAGTCCGATTTGGATGAAATTTGAAACAAAAGTAGATATTTATATATAAATTACTGTGCAGTTTGCTTTTGATATGTAGACAGTAGTGATGAAATTCTGTAGCGGGGGAAGGGGAGGGATAATCACAAAAAAAAAACAATATATATTACAAAATAATTTATATAATAATTTTATTTATAATTATACAATATATGTTACAATATCGTTATATGTTACGTTATCTCTTATTTGAATTCCAATTTTCTAATTTTAAGAGAAATACAACAAATAAATTATAGCTACTTGAAAATGAATTACTACGTCATTTTGAAGAAAAGCTATTTTTAAATTCGCATTTTTCTTTTTTAATACAATCCCCAGAGTTCGAATATGATCTTATGATTTTCGCGAATTCAAGTGATGTTCTCTAGAGCATGATGCCCAATTCAACTCAATATTATTGAAGATTTACTTATGGTGCAATACTAGTAGAGTTGATTTGGATGATCAGGCTTTACTTAACTCTGGAAAATAAATTTCGAAAAATAATAGCTGAATAATAATATTCTAGAGAGGACGAAGATACGGTAGTGTTTTATTTTTTAATGCTTTAATTCGTTTATTAGGAAAAACAAAAATTAAAGGTATGTACATAGCAAAATTAAAGATAAATTAAGAAGCAAATATAGTTTGTAATCAAAAACTTGCGCGATTTCTAATTGTATTCATTTAAGTGAATTCGTCAATTGGCATAGCTTGAAGCTGATTTTTGGAATAATGCCAGTAATTGGTAGTTCTAAGACGTCTATAAGAGAATACATCCTTTATAATAAAGACTTGTCCTTTTAGCCTTTACACCAAAATTAAATCGCCTGTTAATATTGAATGAGCTGCTTTACCTGTTTTATTTCTAATTCAGTGCCTCAAAATCTAATCTCTCACTTAGCTTTGGCAATAGTTGGACAAAAACACTTGTTAATTTATCAAAACTGCTTCGCACGACTTAATTGCTGTTCTTGTTGCTGTTGCGTTATTTTTCCCGTTAATGTTGTTGTTAATGATGGCGATGTCATTTGTTTAACCACGCTGTTTGCCTGCTTATCAAGTGACAATCACAACAACAGATTAATTTGCAAAAGCGATTGCATGGCCGTAGATTGAGGAGAGGGCGGGGGCCGGCTTACGTACGATGGTGGCAAAAACAAGAGCTCCGCTGCATTGTAATTAATAACTGTTTACATTGGGGCGCTAAGAGCTTAGCACAAAGTTGACAAGACTAAGCTGACAAGGCAGCTACAACTAAAACAACAGCAAGAGACGCATCGCTAGCTGGATACCCACTCCACAATTAAATTGCTGTCTATCCAGATGATTGTCTTAAATCCTACTTCTAGCATTGTCACTCCCTTCTGCTCCGAATGCTCTTTGGCCTTGATGGTTGTTTGCATTATAAATCAATGAGCTTTGTGAAATTCGCTATTGGAAATCGAAGTTTTCTTCATTTGTTCCATTTGTCTGTTGATTAACAGCAATTGCAGTTGCCTTGCTCGGACTCATGGCTCAATCAAAGGCTCAGTTCAAATTAAGCAATTTATCAATTGTTGTGGTACGAATACAGATCCACAAGCACAAACACACACACACGCACACTCACACATCAAAAACTGTTGTGGTCTGCAAGTCTAAGAGCAACAGCAAGGCTTAAAGTGCAAGCTGAAGTGGTAGAAAAAATCTTCTACCCGCTTTGGCTGCACATGACAACCGGAAATGGAAAACCGGCTAACAGTTACGTGCTGGTGCCCATGGAACTGGTGCCGAACAGCATTCGAAAACTTTTTATTGCACTCCCTTACTTCAAAGAGTCCATCAGTTTCTATGACAGTTATGCATGAAGCCTTCAAACACCGTAATTATCAAATCAGACTGACTTCTTTAAACTCTTACGTGCTATTCAGATGAATAATACCATATACTGGAGAAACATTTTCAAGCCACTCTAATCGGAGTTAAAATTAAGCAATAGGCAACCGTTCTGGCGCCCAAATCAATTAAATGTGTTTTACATTTTGAGTTACATGAATGTGAACATTAATTAAATAGGATGTTAGCTATCGCAAAATATATATTTGATCTTGCGCTTGAAATTAATTTCTAATTGTCACTGGCACTTATATATCCGTGGGATTAATTTTAACAATTTTTTATATTCCAATTGATGGCGGCTTTTAATAATTGCTGCACATTTTGTAAAATGTGCCCTTTTTTCTTTTTCCTATTTCCTTATAATTTGACGAAATCTCCTTCATAAATACTAAATAATAAATAACGTATAAATAATATAAGTTAGGCTTATGGCTTAGATGAAAATAATATAACTAGCAGCACATATGTTATTCATATTCAACTGAAATCTAAGAAGTATACTTCATACGACATCTGACAGTATTTCTAAAGCATTTCTTGTTGTAGTAGACTTTGTCTTAACAAAGTTTTTCGCCTCTTTTCTCAAGGCAAAATCAAATTACCTTTGAATTGCATTTAATTTGTTTTGGTTTTTCAAAAACTATATTATTATATATGTATAAAGTTATATAAAGTTAAGGTAGAGCATCTAATCTTCATCGTTTTCACAACATCACTTTTATTTTTTGCGCTTTTGTCTGTTCGTCTGTGCTCTTTGTGCTGTTATAAATCAGGCGCTAAGAACCAGGACAACTAAAGGGCAAGTCAAGCGAGGGCATGTGGAAACAACAGTTGCAGCCATTTGGTTGGACAACCAGCATTCGGCATAAGGTTCTTATAGCAAAATCGCTCTGCCAAGGCGTATAGCTCCCGTTTGTGTTTGTCAGTGTGCGAGTGCACAGAAAAATCACACATACGCGCTGTGTGCCTTGGTTTGAAATATTCGCAGAATGTCTTTTATTGCGCTAGTCTAGTACAAACTTTGTGAATGTTGTGTGTTTGTTCCTTCTACCATTCACGTGTCGTCCAGCTAAACCTGCAGAGACTCTGCCACCTCTACAATCCCACCACAGCCCGCCCACCTTATTGGCATATAGTACAATGGCACAGACCAAAATGCTGTAAATTCTCAGAGCAGAAATCACTGCTGGGTTTTCCTCTTCCCGGCTAGTGCTCGTATGTATGTATTACTTTCTTTTTGCCAGCTTCCTAAGCCAGAAGTGAAAATTGCAATTCGGTCGGCAACACGAGACCAGCTGGATGCGTTTGCACAACATTTGCCATAGAATTTTTAATTTAGGATTTTCCATTTGCTGACTCCTACCTCATGTCTTATTACTTGAATGTACGATGTACCTGACAGCCATGCGAGCTTTCTCTCCTGGTCAACGATATGACACATGCGGTTGAATTCTTAACTGAAATATGTAATCAAAGTGCTGGCTAAGAAGCATGAACAAGTGCTCCGATTTCAGGTTTTAATTGCCACTAACAATATGCCAAACAATGAAGAGTGGAAATTTATGCAAAATATGGTTAGGAAGTAGAATGTAGAATGGTAATTAGGACACTATGAAAAGAATTTTCGAATTTTGCAGATAATGGAAAATTCAATTGCTCACTTGAAATGTACGGGACAGATGCAACTGATTGCTCATGAAAAGACAAAT